TCAGCAGGAGATAGTGGCACTTAGGAACTGCCGTACTTGTGTCACAGCCCTTGCTCACCTAGGCAAAGGAGTGAGGTTCCTCACTTACTTCTCTGCCCAGACAGCTATTGATTTATTGAGGCCAGGAGTTCATTGCATCTGAAGAGATCCTTTACCTGCGTGAGTACTGCTCTTTGCAAAGCTGGAGTGCAAGGGCTGGAACTACTGCCGGAGCCCATTCGACTATACGGGATGGCTTCGTGCCCAAGGACAGCGGGCCAGTTGAGGGAAGTCTGGATGCCATCGCTCTTCTTCTTTCTGTCCTCAGCCTGAAAACAAGCAAAGATCAGTTGTGCTGCATGCAGCAGGCTCCAATCAGAGCTGCAGGAGAGTGCTCAGACATCTGCATGAAGCCCCCTTGACTTGGACGGGACTCCACAGGCGCATGGGGTCTGCCCAAAAACATATCACTACCAGTCCTGACATCAAATAATCTCCCTCATTTCATTTTAACCTTTCCTTATGCTGCATACTTTGTCTAGTCTCCAACCCCTCACTCTAACATGCCCCTGCCAGGTAAGAGTCACCCGTGAGTGGTCTAGTTTCATGCTGCTCAATGTATTTACTGGGTGGGATCTGGAAGAGGCCATTTCCTTATAGGCTGGATGGGGTTTTTTTGGCAGTGTATCGTCTATTGGGCAATATGTGTCTTATTCCCTGTTCCTGCAATATGGACATTGCTGCAGAGGCCTTTCTGCATTACTAAACTTTGTGGCCTTACATAACTGCACAATATAAAGAGGAAGATGGAAATGGTCTAGAATGGACAAAGATCCTTTCAATTCCCAGAGGCCTTCCTCATTACACAATTGCTTCCCCAGGGTTTTCTGACCCTAAAGCTTCTTCAGACTTTACTCAGTATAAGTAATACCAGTTCGGTAGCATAAATCTTTAACACCGACTCTGATTCTGCAGTTAAGGAACAGACTTTTACAGAGTCAGCTGGAAATTAATGCTACGTCTTCCCACTCTATCTGTTTCTAGACAGGTATTATAATGCACCTAGCTCTATGGCTGGGTGCTTATGCCTGTGTCAGGAAGGTGAGCAATCATTTCATTAACATCATACTGCACGTATGCTGGGAGCCTGCCAACTGTCTTGTGATGGAAAGCAAGTCCCATTAGCCTTGCAGCTATTTATTATAAAAGAACCTATTACAGCCAAAACCTACAACATATCAAGAACCTGGGATGAAATCCCTGGTCCATCAATGGCAACATTTGCATTGGAATGAGGCTTTCATTCTCTACCCTCTATCCATAAAGGATAAAATTTCCCACAAGCAAGAAAAAATGTAAAAAATAAAGTAACAAGAATGGAGAAATCAAAATGTAGCTAGGTAATGCTGTTTTTCTTTAAATTTGGGATTTTACACAAGCTTTTGTTCCATCTGCTAATTAGCTCTGCTATGTCTACTTCTCATCCAGAGTCCTGAGGAAGGGAACTGTAATACCTGAAAGCTTGTCTGTGTCTATCCCAACCATGCAGTTGGTCTAATGAAAGATATCACCCACACACATTCTTTTTGGGTAGTCAAGTCGCAAGCTGATGGAGAGGAGCTGCAGAAAGATTTCAGCAAGCTAAGTGAGCGTGCAAAAAAAAATAGCAAATGAACTTCAGTGTTGACAAGTGCAAGGTAATGTCCATGGCAAAAAATAACTTCAACCATATGTACACAATGCTGGGTTCTGAACGAGCTGTTACGACTCAGGAAAGCAACCTTGAAGTCACTGCAGATAGCTCTCTAAAAACATCAGCTGAGTGTGCAGTGGCAACCACAAAGGCCAATAAAATAATGCTGGGGATCATTAGAAGAGAAGTGAAAACAAAATGGAGAATGTCATTGTGTTATTGTAACAAATCCATGGTGCTCTCATGTCTTGAATACTGAATGCAGCTCTGGTCCCTACATCTCAAAAAGGATGCAGTAGAATTAGAAAAGGTACAGAGAAAGGCAACAGAAATGATCAGGGGTCTGGAACAGCTGCCATAGCAGGAAAGACTAAAAAGGCAAGGACTATTTAGTTTGGAAAGGAGAAGGGATGGGATGCGGGGTGGAGGGGAGGTATGATAGAGGCCTACTAAATTGCGAAGGGTGTAGACCAAGTGAACAGGGAACCATTGTCCACCATGTCCCAGAATGCTAGAACTAGTGGGCACACACTGAAATTAGTAGGTGACAGGTTTAAAACTAACAAGAAAAAGTATTTTTTGAGCAATGCATAGTTAACTTACGGACTTCACTGTCACAGGAAGTGGGGGAGGCAGAGAGCATAGTCAGGCTCAAAAAGAACTGGAGAGATTCTGGCTATTGAACAGGAACAGTTGCAGATGTTTCCTTTGCATCTCTAAACCAATAATGGTGCATGCCAGAGAGGGTACTGAATAAGGGATGGATCACTGATATCTGACTCACTGCTCTCCCTCTATGGCATCCACTTCTGCCACCATTGTCTAGAAGAACCATTGGTCTGACCAGTATGCCCATTATGGCAATTCTTACGTTCTTATTGTCTCTCACATTTTTAGACTTCCCAGATGAGTTGTATGGCCAATAAGGCTGGACTTTGAATGTGTGTTGTTCAACTAGGTCTCACAGAAGTACTAGCAGATGTAAAAAAAAACAAACCCAGCTTTCTGCCAAATGAGCTCTGGAAGAGTAAGTCATTTCTGTCAAAAACCGTGTTTATCATACTGCAATTTTTGGTTAATACAATGGGAGAGAGCTCAATATAACAGGATAGCAAAGAAGTAGCAGATCAATTTTTTAGAGATGGTCAAAATATTTTGAAATATCACAGTTGTAAAATATGTTCAGTGTCCAAAACGTTGACAAAATAGACCTGCTCCACTCATTTGTGCATGAACAGAACAACATTCCTGCAACATTCTTCCAGAAACTTTGAGAAAAATAGTGATGTACAAACACAATTAAAATAAAATCTATTTTATATATAGAATATATAAACCATGATGGGGCTGGACCCCACGATCTTCTGAGGTCCCTTCCGGCCTTATAATCTATGAATCTATGATCAAAATGGCTGCAGCATAGTGCTGTGAATGCAGGACATAACTAGCACTTTAAAAAAAGGCCTTTTTATGACTTCACCCTTTCTCTTTTATTTCCAGATGAGGTCAACACTGAGATTAAAATATAACAGGAATTGTATAGACTAAATTCTAGAATCCATTTTTTTCTGGTGCATTTATGAAATGTATGCCAAAAGTTAGATGAATACTGAACTGACATTTTGCTGGGTTTTTTCCCCCCCTGGCTATGACCAAATAGAAAGTTTATTCAACACAGAGTAGCATTTCCCTTGCTATCGCAAATCCATGGTAAAATGCATCTATTGACAATTGGATGCGTGCATTTAGTAAATGGCTTGTTTCCACGGTTTGCTGGCCCCACTTGATCCCGTGGCTACAGCTAGATTTCCAAAGACGACTACTGACTTCAGAAAGAGCTAAGTCTGATTTCACTGGGTACATCTACACATGCATTAATGCACTGTTGTTGCTGCACATTAAGTTTAGTACTTCTAACAGAAGGTATCAACTAAATGTGCAGTAGCGTCGGTGCATGGTCTTTTTGTGACGCTTAATGTCCAGTAGATTAATTGTATGGCTTGTGCTGTGACATGCTAATGTGCAGTAGTCTACTGCACATTTAGCATCTCATGTCGTTGTGCCCACTGATCATTCTTTACTCCCTCAATATAGCAAACCTCTGGGAGGCTGGGCATTTGTTTTTTCGACAGTTGTACTTTGACAGCATTATGCATTCTTCTGTCTTCACAAATAGCTATGAAGATATACAGGCCTGGCATCATTTGTTTCATTGGACTGATTTCATATCACTGCTTGTTTTCTGTTATTAAAGTGTGTCATTTCCACAGCTGAGCAAACCAATGTTATTTAGTTGTTTATTAGCAGAGAATTGCACCTTGAGATCATCTGCAGATCTCTTTGTCTAACATTCAGACTCGGATAACATCAAAGCCCGCACTCAGTTCGACACTGAAGCAAGGTACGCTGCTTGGCAGTGTTCTGGCTTTCACACGCAGAGTCCTTCCTAAAGCCTGTACTCCGATATTCTGGGATGTCTTTTGCTATGAATGACCCTCCGTCCTTATAGCTTCACATCAAAATTGACCTTGCTGGGCCCCGAGCATTTGGGACCTGATCCAGCAAAATACTTCATGATGTGTTTCAACATCATCTCGCACAGGTTGCAGAACTGAATTTGCAGCTGGGAATTTTATGAGAGCGCGGGGGAGCTGGAAGTTATGGGGTAATACAGTCTATACAATGTGTACTTCATCTATAGATAAGGAAGATGAAGGAGCCAACAGTAACAAGACAAAATGAGGCAATCCCAAACAAAGAACAGAATCAAAATCTTTTTGGATTGGAAAACACGAGTTAACTCAGCATAAGAAAACAAATTAAAACTAACTAGCTAGAGATCCTTAAAACCAGTGAAAGGCAATGGCTGTTACAATGTTTGCCTGTTGGCCAAACATATCTAAAGTCCTGTGGTTGGGATTAAACTGCAAAAGAGAAAAGTTTGTAAACCTCACTCAGTTTTATCAGATTTTGTCTAAAATCAGTCTGAGAGGTTTTACAGCTCTTAGGTCACAAGTTTTGTTTATCCCTGACTTGAAAGGCAAGGAAGTGATATCTCAAGAGGCTCTAGATTGGTTATACAGATTGTAGGTGGTTTTGTGGAACGTGGGCCATGCAGGCTTGAAGAAGGTATCTCATTATTTTCCTCATGGTGGTCAAATCCATCTGGAACTAGAGTGGAAGAAGGAGAAGCAAAGCCAATAAGGCTTCACTGGGGGCATCTACACATGTGCTTTACTGATGAGTTGACTAATTAGCTCTGCAGTAAAGCATCACCATCTTTCTGTGCAGCGCTATTAGGCTGGAGTAAGGGAATAGCTCTGCCGTAGGATAGTCCTGCCTGACACACGTACTATCCTATGGAAGTTATTCGGTGCGCCACAACACATGTAGATGGCGACTGGGGCTGGCTGGGGCATGAGGCTACTGCAGTGTGAGCGCTGCCTGCCAGTTAGCCCTACACTGCAGCACCCCTGTGTCCCAGTCAGCCCCTCTGCAGCAGGTTGAGCCCAGGGGGAGCAGCTGTAGGCTGGCAGGCTGACCCTCCAGGCCCCTTGCCAGCTGGGGCTGTCCTGCTTCGGCTCAACATGCTGTGGTCCCAAGTGCATATGAAAGCACTGAGCCCAGAACCAATAAACTCCGGCACAAAACGCACCAGACTTTGTTCAGCTGTGCTAACGCCACTTGTAGATGCACCTACTGTGATATACATGGGAAGACACCCAGATTTGGTTAAGGTTTATCCTAGATGAGTCAGTTCTCTTTCTCTGAGCTACCAAAGCATTATAAATGACACGCAAAATAGCAGAAGAAAAGAGTGAGAGGGGATTTGACAGCAGCCTTTAACTTCCTGATGGGTGGTTGCAAAGAGCATGGAGCTGGACTGTTCTCAGCGGTGACATATGACAGCACAAGAAGCAGTGGACTCAAGTTGTAGCAAGGTAGGTGTAGGTAGGAATAACTTTCTCACTAGGAAGGTGGTGAAGCACTGGAACAGATTACCTAGAGAGGTGGGGTAATCTCCATCCTTGGAGGTTTTTAAGTCCCAGCTCAACAAAGCCCTGGCTGGGATGATCTAGTTGGGGATGGTTCTGCTTTGAGCAGGGGGGATGGCCTAGATGACCTCTGAAGTGCCTTCCAACCCTCATTTTCTATGCTTCTGTGACACTGTACCCAAAGATGGTGCGTTGTGGGCAGGAACATACCTCTTTGCTGGTGCTGCTTGGGGGAGGGTGCACTGCTGCACTTGAACCCTTTGGAGGTACTTTGTTCTTTTGCTTGTGGTCATGTTGGAGAGACAGCAGCTGTGTCTGGTCTTTTGGCAGTGTCCGCTGAATCTTCTTATTGTGCTGTGCTTCTTCCACCTTTTTCTGAAAACGAGATGATGCCAATAGTGTTAAGAGTATTTCCTGGAAGGGTAATCAGGTGAGGCAGATTTCAGTTGGGTGCCTAACCCTCCCTGTCCCCCTTTTACAACGGACTTAGAAGAAAGGATCCAAGTCCTGACCTCTCAGCAGTCTCATTTAACTTCCTGCAATTGGATTTAAAAATAGCACAAGCTAAAACAAAAGAGAAACCAGCAAACAAACCCCAAAATTCCCTCTGCCCGCTCCAAACTGGTCTCAATAGTTCATTTTTTAAATGGCTCCAGCCTTTTACAGAAGCCAAAGGGCTTTTTTGAACCTCATCATGTAGAAACTGTCTATGCTGCCATTTGAACATAAACCGATTCACCTATTAAAACATGAAAACATTGTGGCCAAAATACTAGGTTTGACTTCAGTCACAAGACACAGGCAGTGAAAAATCCCTCCACATTACTTTCATGTACAGGGGTGAGATTGACCATAGCCCGAAGGAAAGCAAAAAGTTTGCAGATCTAAATTAAAGTGGGGTAAGATAAATGCAAAGTAAGACAAATATATTTAAAATCAAACTGAAGTCTAGGGTTACTTCAATTTGAATTGTATGCTATGCAATATATGGCTTTTTGAGAATAGACATATAAGAACTAATAGTGTAGAAGGAGCAGGGAGGACCTGGACTTACTTTTCCAATACAGGCGATTAAATGAAACATGAGAAAGACCAATGAACCAAGTTCCTCTCATTGTTTTTCAGAGATCAGATGGGATTTCATTCCATTCCCACCACGGGATTGCACTAAGTAATTGTCACACTGCTTTCAAAGAACAAAACATGCTAGCTCTTAAACTCTCTCTAGCAGAGTCCTAACTATTTTCTATATTTAGCCTTTGAAATTTCTAACTTCACTGGGAAATACATGCCAATCCAAGTCAATTAGAAAGCTTCTGTTGTACAGATTCCCTTTCCACAGAGGAGGGCACCGTTCTAACATGCATCACGCTCTTTAGCTTCTGGTAACAGGAAAGATATAATGGGGTCAATGCAGAAGAGCGCCATGCTCCAGGGAACCCAGGCCAATGCAACCATAATTAAGAACGATCCCTAGACACTTCCCCTATGTAAGGAGGGATCTGCAATAGAAGATGGTAGTTTTGCAGATGAATTCAGTGAGAAGCAGCACAGAAATAAGTGCAACACTTGTGGAAGGAGAGGAAAAATGGGGTGGATGTACCCTTGCTGAAGGGTACAACTCAAAGAGAGACAAGCAAAAATGGAGAGGGGTTTGGTGTGGTCCTTGACCTATGGGAATGAGGCTCTATTAGAAAACTTGAAAAGGATCCAGCCACCTAAACAGGGAGCCACAAGCTGTATCAACAAGTTCATGAGTTGTACCTGCTTCCTTTCTGGTCTCCTCTGCCCATCTACCATGCACCGCTCATCTTCCACAAGTCTCTTCTCCTCTTTACATGTCTCATCTCTCCTCTGAACTGCCTTAATCTCTGGCCATCTCTGCTCACACTCCTGCTGCCTTCGGAGCTCTTGTTCTCTCTGATGCTGGATAAGAGCCAGGAAACAACACTGCTCTTACTTCATTTCTTTAGTCATAGATCATTAGTCCAAGGTGCAATGAGCTACAATTATGAGAAACATGCAACCAAAAGACCCCTTCTCGATCTACAATCAGTTGGGAGACATTTGTTTTGACCTAGCAGAAGAGCTGAGGGGTGTAGTGGCCATAAAAATAATCATAAAACTCCTGGAGTAAAATCTTGACCCCAAAAGTCAGCAAATTCTGGGGGGGGGGGGGTGGTGTAAGGATTTCACCCTGAGGTCAGGGGTACAAGTCCCAGTGATAAAGGTCTCATTTCAGCTCCTGCCATTTGGATAGGGAAAGGTTTTCTGGATTCCCTCCATTTCATAGCAACTTTAACAACCTCAGTGGTGGGTTGCTCTGCTGTCCTAACATTTCTTCAAAGGCTCATGAAGAGGCACAACTCCATCACTTAGTGATGTTCCAGGGGCAACCCCACACCCTCAAAGAGTTTGAACAGTGGTAAGTCTGTCACCACCCAAGACATGGATACTACTAGTGTGGGTGCAGGAGGGGAGATTCAGACTTGGACCATGCACACTGGGATAGGAATAAACCTGTACAGCCTTTCTATTTTTCTGAGGTTCCACCAACAGCGTGTATATACATGACACGATTGTCATTTACTGCGGAGTTTACTTTGTAGTACATTTAAAGGGTGAAGTTATGCATACACTCAGACCAAATCTTTGGGATGTTAAGCAATGTTAAAGTGAGAATGTGCTGTGAGCCGTTGCACATTAAGGATTAATGCCGTTTCATGCCCGCACAGCTCTGACTTGCCACTAGAGGCTGCTGAGCTAGGATACCTGGGCTCTATCCCTGCTCAAGGGAAGGGGGAGAGAGGCTGGGAGGGGTCCCTGCTCAAGGGAAGGGGGAGAGAGGCTGGGGGGGGGGCATCTTGGGATGCTGGAAGACTGAAAATTGCTCATTTTATCTCCATGGAGCAGACTGAAGTTACCCTAACAGAAGTTAGGTAGCGTGGCCCAGAGTTAACCCTTGCTTGAAGTGGCACAGCTTTGAGATGCTCAGAGGGCACTTAGCATGAGTTAATGAGCTTAAACATACAGATGTTTGTCTTTTAAGTGTTCTTAGTAGGGTCTAAGTGTACCTTCACCCTTACTCCAGAGTACAGAGCAGACATAAAACCAGTTTTCCCAAGTAAGCACTATTTCACTGCCTGGCCACTAAGTGGAAGCAGAGCCAATCTGCATTGAGCAAATAGCCACCCTGGAATAAAACAGGTAAGGGGAGTGGACGCATAACACTTTTTCCATATGGAAAGTTACTATACAATTCTCAAGGGGGGAATTTCACCCTAGGTTTAAATGATTTACTATGTTGTATGGCTATGAGCCAATCATTGCCCATTTCACTATAACCTTGTAGGTAGCCAATGTAGCACATGTGCATATCCAAATTAAAGCCAGTGGGAGGTAAGCATTTCTCTCCCAAAACCCGGGCAGGGAACTCCAAGAGTATGAAAGCAACCCTTTAAAAAAAAAAAATCAACGTTCAGATATTGCTCCGGTTAAAGATTCCAGGCCAAGCTGTACCAAGACTCTAACAGGACTTCCTTTTTCTTTCAAAACTCTGTCCTTGAAATTAGCACATTTTGACATGGCACGTTGAAGGATGGGCATTAATAATACAAGCCTGTGCCTACATCCTCCAGTCTCTTCCTCTGCTCTTTTTGTTGTTCAATCCGCTTCTGTCGCTCTGTCAGCAGCTGCTTTTTATATTTCTCCTGGTCCTTCAGCTGCTGCTGCTGGAGCTGTGGCTGGTGGTGAGGGTCAGAACGGCTCTTGTTCTCCTGCTGCAGCCTCAGAAATTCTCGACGGAGGGTGGACTCACCAGGGAGGTTAACTATGGAGCTGAAATACAAGGAGAGCTTCTATCTGACTAGTCGGAGCATTCTGGCGATAGAGCAAGTACAAGGCATCCGGGGGAAATTACTCTGCTAGCAGATTAAAATGTTCCTCTAAATCTCTACAGGATCTGTTGGTTATATGGCTACATTTATTGCACTACACATACCTGACTGAACCTGATTATCTTGCATTTTCACTGGAAACTGTCCCTCCCCATGGCTGGGATATGAAGAAAATAACATTATTGACTCAGCATTTATATTCAATAGCTATGCGACAATTCCTGCATTTGTGCTGGAGGTTGGACTAGAAGATCCTTAGGTCCCTTCAGTCCCTAAGATTCAATTGCTAACCCTGGTGGATGACACTGGAAGTTTTAGCACACGGTAAGAAAACCATCTGGCTGCGGAGACTGGCCTTCTGTGAAGACAGGCCAGCTAGCCAAATGTTACATGCTGCTAATAAAATTAACCTTGGTTCTCCTTCATCTTCATTCAGCTCATCATCCTCTTCTTCACTCCCACTGTAATCATAGTCTGTTTCTTCTAAAGAAGTAAAAAAAGAGGGAAAAAATGTAAACCCAGAACTGGAAAATGTTACTGCTTGATATTAACCTAAGCAATCTCTTGCTAACAAATGGCAGCAAGGGAAAAATGGCTATAAGGCCTGCCACTAGGGTCAATGAGAGTCTTTCTCAGGTTTGGGCTTGATGACCTCGCTGCATCAGATATGTAAAGGTTTAAAAATGGGAAAAAGAAAAACAGGAAGATATCATCAACTGGTCTTTAAAAGATGCCCTGAAGAACTGTGTGGTCTTAGGATATGAGGGCTTAGATAAGATATGGTTGGATCCTACCAGGTAAGAGTTAATCCCCTTGGGCTCAGGTCCTCCAGTTGATAACTCCAGTTATCAGTTGATAACTCCCATTGCTTTCACTGGAGGTGAGCCGTGGGAGTTAGGTGCTTAAGCAGGAGCTAAGCTCCTAACTCCCTTTGAGAATTTACGCCTTGACATTCAGATTTTCAAAGGAGCCCAGAGGCAAGTTTTTAATCACTTGGCAGATACAACCAGGCCCAGATATTCGCAATGATCAGCTTCTACTAACACAGCTCTTTGGAGAATTAAGTTATTTATTGAGTTTCCTCCACAGGAGCCTATTTCTCTACTGATTCTGCCCCCAGCAACAAAAGTTGAATCCCTCTGCATATTCCAGCCATATGCTCTACCCTTGCAATGAGCAACAGTAAAATACACTCCTGAGAGAGATCGTCGGCTGGTGCCACAGGGTGTCTTTACACACGCTCCGGGGTTCAGGCTGGGGGTGCTTTAATTAGAGCAGCCCTCAGGAGCTGCTCTAATTAAATGCCCACAGTGTCTTGTGTAATCAGAGCAGGCATCGGGTCAGAGCAGGCATTGGGCATGTATATAGGTGCCCATAAAGAACGGGTCCATGTACCCAGCTGAGGATCCGACCCTGCAGTGAAATCCCGGCACCACTGAAAGCCTCTTTCAAAACCTGGCAAAACTCTCAGTGCTTTAGCTGGGCTGGTGCTTCATTGCCTTCACTGGGACTTGGTACAGCTTAAAGAGCCCAGGGTGTAGTGTTCTCAGCCTTACCCCTGTCCCCTTTCTTTTTCCTGGTCCTGTCCAGGTGGTCTTTCAGCATGATGCGCACTTGCCGCTCATTTTGCATATCTCGAATAAATGAATGTTTGAGCAAGGTTTCAGTGGAGGGACGATGCACGTAATTTTTAACGAGGCAGCTTTCAACAAAATTAAGAAACTTTTTTGACCTAAAAAAAACCAAGGCAAACATGAAATACAATCCTCTTAAACTTACAGAGGCACAGATCCTCTGCAGGATCCCAAAGCACTGAGAACAGGTTCCTTTGATACAACATAGAGCAGGTGTTTCAACAGTGCCTCATGTTCCAGCACTACCCAAAAATTTAAGATAGGAGCCATGGAAGTATTGTAGGTTAAATTATGCTTTTGTTAGAGGAAGTCCAGATATTGAATGCAAATGTGAGCAGAATTTGACCCGCTGTGTCTAAATGAAACAGCCAGGTAGAATTTAGGGAAGCAGTAATTGCTTAATTTAGACTATGGCCAGAACAACAGGACTAACTTTGTTGCTCTTCCCAAGAGTGATAGGGTCTTCAATGGCCAGAATCAACTCAATAGCATCATACTAGGGGATGTGTTGAATAATGGTGTATCTGGACAGGCAGTCCTGTACTGATCCACCAACCTTCATTTCTGCAGCACCACAGCATCTCTTAAGAAATCTCCTGACCAAATCATGATCAAAACAACTGCAGAGGCCCTTTCACATCTTAATTTCAGCCACCAGTGTAAGCCCTGAGTCTAGGCACAGTTTAGAGCAGAGCGGAGTGATTTACACTGGTGCAGAGCAGCTACCTTTCAAACTAGAGTACATCTGCCCTCATGCAGATCATGCTTCTCAAGCGGCACCTGCCCCAGGAAGGATTATGAGACTGAAAAAGATTGCAGCCTCTGGACTGCAGGCATCAAACCCCTGGCAACCCCAAACTGTAGCAAAACAGTGTCTTTACCATTTCCTGGATTTCAGTTTTGGGGGTGGGTTGCGTGGGATGAGAAAGAGGGCTCTCATGGGATGCATGTCACACAAAGCTGCAAAGGAAAAGACAAGCTATTAATGAGCATGCCCCAGCCCTGCCAACCTTTTTTGACCACTCTGGCACAGCTCAGGTGATACAAAGACATGGCACAGCTCATGCTGATCTGAGAGCTACAGATGCAGCCCTTTATAATTCCTCCTGTTCTGGAAGAGGGGAATAGCATTCATAGGGGCTCTGTGTTATTCAGTGGGTTTCACCATCCAGAGCAGGGAAAACCCTTGCAGCACAGGAGGTCTTTGAGTGGGTGACACAGTGAATTAATGTAGCTGGACCTAGGAAAAGGTCTCTGTTGTTAAGATCAATGCAACTTTTTCAGCATTTCAGGGCTCCAGAAGAGGGGCATTCAATAACAAGGCCTTGATGCTTGAGTGGACTATAAAGATGCTCACATACTCAGTGTCTGAAAGGTCATACGCACCTCAGTGTGAATGTCAGTCTGGATCATACCTATTTTAGTCTGCCTGGTTTAGCTATACACTAGATGCTAACTGACCTCCTAGCTCTATGGCACATGCAGTAAGAGAAACAGCATGAAAAGGAGAAGTTAGCATGAAGCAGAGAGCTGACAAACTGCTCCAGAGCTGAACGCACAACTAAGAACAAGATTCAGCTCTGTTGCATTTGAGGAGATTCGTGCAAACTTACTTGGCCAATCTGTGCTTTCCAAACAGATCTCGTGACTGTTTGGTAAGCTGGTTTCTCTCTAAACCCACTTGTTTCCTCTTGGTTTGGTTGTTGTAGAAAGCTGATGCTATAATGAACACCATGAAAAGTAAATGTCATCCCATCCCATACATCAAACAATCACCCCATACATTTCACACAGCGTGGCTGTATGAAAATAAAGGGGTTTCCCCCTTCAGGGGTTTTGCAGACTGGACGGCACAGATGGGAACTATTACGCCTGATACTAATCCCAGTATTCAGGACAATGAAGTGACACCCATGCAGAACTAGTGTAAATAAGAGAAGGGACCAGGCCCGGGGTCTCAGTGTTGCCTTGTGCACTCTCTTAGTGCGAGTCTACCAGCTACCTCTTCTCTCATATGGATACGGCAACATTTCTGGGCACGGTCACTAGGGCTCCTATACGCATGCAGGGAGGCTGCTCCGAGGAGCAGACTCGATTAACTGAGTCTGCTCGAGCGTGGTAATTGCCGTGCTCCCGCAGACTCCAGCATCATGTGTATCAACGTCCTCACGCTGAAAAATGGTGGTGGGGAGCTTTAAACTAAAGCTCGTTCGACGAACTTTAGTTCAAAGCACCCCGCCAGCAGTTTTGAGTGCGGGGACGCTGGTACACGAGACGTTCCAGGCACTTTTAATTAGTGCGGCTCTTGGAGCTGCGCTAACTAAAGCACCCCCGCCTGCCTCCTGGAGCACATCAATCAACACCCTTTGTGCAATGTCTGTCCAACATGTAGCACAGTGGGGCATTGTCCCAGAGACCACCACAACACAAATAGCAAACACGACACGATACAGTGCAGCATCCATGCAATATTTACCTACAAAAATAGTCAGTGTGGCACACTTGAGACACACAGCTGAACTGAGGACTCAGACTGTAAAGCTATAATATTCCTTTTGTAAGGGAAATCCTCTCAGTCTCCTGTCTCAAAACTAAGTTCTAGCTAGACCAAAGCACGGTTTGGGAAAATGCTTTTAAAATCAGCTCGGCTTCACCTCCACGAACATCTAAGTGCTGAAAACTGATTTGGAAGGAAGACAGTCTGACCTGCACGCTAAATGGCTTACAAACATAGCCACGTGCTCTCTAGTGCCGGCAAATCGGATCACCACTCGTGTGCTCAGCAATAACCAAATGCCCCACTGCGTCTTCACATTGCCATGCTGCTTAGCATCCTCTGTGTTTTGTGCTGCTAAGCAAAACCCATCCTATTACCCCTGTGTAACCACCTACAACAAGAGTTCCTACAGAGAGCTGGCAAATGACCATTTCTGCATTTTGATCTGCATCTAAAGCTAGGTTAAATCACAAGGAGCATCTGCTTTTGATATGAAAGCAAATGCAAATGCAACTAGGCAGCCTCCTGGGGTAGGAGAACATCTGGAGGAGCCATCAAGGAGGAATGATGGAGGCACAACAGAATTGGGACTAAAGTGTGGCTGGAAGGATTTCCTCCAGGAGCTTTTGCTGTCCTGAGTGGGCCTCACTTTACTATTTCTCTAGGATTCCACGGAGGGTAAATGCATGCTTTCACCTGCAGACTCAGGGGAGGGCAATGAACCTGACTTCAGACTAAAAGTATATTCCTCCATTACAGAACTAATGTGAACATCAGGAGGAATCCTCTGTTAGGAATAGTAGCAAGAGGATCTCTGCTACCAATGGGCTGCAGCACCCTTCCCCATTGCCAAGTGTTCTCCTGGCAGGCGTTTCTGCAGAAACTTCAATCGCTCTTCCCCCTGTCTATGCAGAGTGCCCATGAAGTGAGACACATCTCAGCTCTGGGGAGAACGTGGTTTCCCTGGAGAATGCAGGCATGGAGTGAAAATACAAACAGACAGGATTAAAAGGTGCAGGGTGAGCGATGGGGGATAGGCATGAAAAGTCGGGCAACCGATGGTTTGAACTGAGGCAGCCAGAACTACGTTTCATTAGATGAGGATGAGCTATCTTAAAAGGCCGGGACGTGTGCATGCAGTTTGGACTGACTCTTTAACAAAGAATTTGAGTCACTTACGGGGAGCTCCTTCAGCCATTTCTATAGCCGTGATTCCCAGAGACCAAAGGTCGCTCTGCATGAAAAGAAACAGTGAATAATACAACTTTTAGCATTATAAGTGAAAAAAGGCTTCCCTCAATTGCCATGGAACGGCCATGTTTGTATGAGTGCTGTACAGTCGACTCCCTCCCACTCCCTGCTGAGCCTTTAAGGAAATGTGCTAATAGTCAGGAACTTTTCATTTCCCATGGAATTATGAACAGCTAATTCATGCAGCCAGGCCTGGGGCACAGACCTTTTGCCTTTAAAACTGAATTTCCAGCATACAGCAGGAATTTTTTAAAGACAGCCCAATTCTCTACTCCGTTACATGCAAGGCAGGAAGGTGAAATCCCACTTAGACCTGATACTGCTTTCATGTTAGTACAGGGGTGGGCAAAATGCAGCCCGGGGGCCGGATGCAGCCTATCAGGCCATTCTATCTGGCCTGTGGGGCCCCTAAAAAATTTAGAAAATTAATATTTATCTGCCCTGGGCTGCCTGTCATGCGGCCCTCGATGGCTTGCCAAAACTTAGTAAGCAGCCCTCTGCCCAAAATAATTGCCCACCCCTGTGTTAGTACTTGCTTCAGTGCTGCCGTTACTCCTTTCATACACTGATGCAGGAGAGGTGAAAGTCAAGAGCAAGAACACTCTTCCCCTGCAAAAAGTCATTTCCAGGCAGTGGGTTTGGGCAGGGAAAAGGAGAGCAGAGCTGTGTAATGCGATGTGCGCCCAGCTACGTCAGACTGCAGCCTCTTCTACTGACTTTACAGATCATCTGAAACCCAACCAGACGCTCGGGTTGAGATCCTGATCATTCAGGTGTAAATCAGGAGTAAAAGCATTGATTTTAAGGGCATAAGCAGGTTTAGGCTTGCTTAGTTATATGTGCTGCTTTTCTCTTTCTTCTCTTCTCTTCCACCAGCAGATACATTTGTCCAAACTAATTTGCGGAAGGTCTCCATGATTCATCTCATAATCACCCTCAACATCTGACAGGGCTTTGTTTCACAGGATATGAGACAAAATACAAGCATAAGGGGAATCCTTGGAGACCTGAAGTAAGGGTAATGAATATGAACAACATCTTATGTCAGATCTGGCCTTACAGCTACAACTTCACAACATAATCATCATCAGTATCTCTTCGAGACCCACCCTGCAGTGATTCACAAAGGCTGGCGTACGGCTTCATGCTGTAGATCTCAGATTCCAGCGGGAGCTAAAAGGTTCAGGATCAGGTCCTGTGTTATTAAATGACTCCAAAAAAAAAGGCAGCTGTTCAGAGAAGGTGGTAAAGGAATGGACTCCCTGAAGTACAGTGGCAATGGTAAGAGAAACCAGCATGCTTGGAAGAACCTGGAGCTGATACTTTGAGGCTTGAGGACAAAATGTGTTACTGGGGTAGTAAGGGCTGTGTTTGTAGTGTTCAATGTATTTTTTTTTTAATTGTCACTGAACTGAGTTAGTGAGAAGTCATGGGCATAGCAGAACAGCTTCCTGCTTTTCACTCACCGTATCAGCAGCGTGTATAAATACTTGCCTCGTTTTGCTCATATGAATCATGACACTGAATCAGCACTTTGGAAAACCCCGCTGACCACTCTTGGACTACAGTTTGCAGTCTGGAGCCAGGCACGAAGAAGATGAACTGCATATGTTATTCCATGCAAGGAATGTGCACATATGAAGCATATGCATTCAATATATATATTAAGGAGATACCAGGAAACACACTGACTGGGGAAAGAGAAGGTGTCTGGAGAAAAGCCACAAACAAACAGGGGCTTTCAGGTAGTCCTTATATATTATGGAGAAAGGCAAATAATACATTTTGGGTCTGACTGTCATTTACAGTAAGATGCCCTAAAGGTCTTTTTCACACTGCCAGACCAGTGGACAGTGACCTTAGGAGGAATGAGGGATGAAGACTTCTGAGTAGAAAATGGAACCCGAAACTTGGGAAAGATTCCCAAAACCACATCGGGATTAGCAGGTGTGATTTGGGACATCTTTCTGGTACAAAGCTGCTGATGGATGTGATGGCCTTGTAACAGGACTTGGGAGAAGCAGGAAGCATTTTGGAAAGCATCCCACGTGGTCAGTGTGTTTACGGAAATGACACCAATGCTGCAAATCAACCCAAGGCTGACAAGCAGGATTGTGTGCTTCTTTGGAGCAGAGTCAGCATGTTATAATTGTAAGTGGGACAACCAGAAGAGTCCCTGATAGCTGCTCTTTGGTCTCCAAATTGCAGTGTGCATAAATGGTCTCTAAAGAATAAATACAAGCTCCATCTAAAGCTTTGGGGTCCACAAAGAGGATGTTTGGTTCATGATGTTAGAGTCATACGAATAAGCTGAGACAGTATTTCACCAATGAAAAATTATGCATATAATAAAGATGGATGGGACCCATCTATTTACTCAGACTTTCTTGCTCTAGACTTTGATGGTGTGCAATGGCTTGCAGTCTGCTCTGAAAAGGGAAAGACACTTGTAGGTATTTGCTAATAAATTATGCACACTATATCAATTATCATCAAATAATTTAGCAGCAATGTAAAAAGTATAACAGAAAACAAATCTCTTGATGACAGAGGAAAGAAGTAGCACAGAGCCACGTTCACGAAAGATTGCTCCTTAGGCAAATGTTTTTGGGCTCTTTCCCCCAGCAGTCTCCAGACGGCAAGCCTTGTTTTCAGAGAACAAGAGATACTTTTATGAATTTCATTCTCAAATGATTTGCATTTCATTTCATACGTTAACGATTCACAAAGAAAATAAACTCATACCGAAACTCCTCTTTAAAACACCCACATATTAAACGGGCAGCTGTGTACTGTTACATAGATATAGATAGATATATATACACACACACACACCATTGTGGTTTTAAGGGCAGGGAGGAGGGTTTGTTTTCAGTTGAAATACTTGAAAAGGCCGTCAGTGCTGAAAACCCGGTCACTTTGCTACCACATGCAAAATTGTAGCACTCACCCTGTAATCGTAAGTGGAGTCTGGGTTCTCCTCACAAGCTATGACCTCAGGAGCCATCCAGTAGGGTGTCCCAATGAAGGTATTTCGTCTTCCAATCGTCCTGTCCAGCTGAGCGCTTACCCCAAAATCCACTGCAAAAGTCAAGCACGAGTAATGCGCTTAATTCAAAGCACAAAATACTTGATCAGTAGCTACTTCTGCTTGAAAAGCAAACCATGTCGCAATTTCAATTCTTAAATTGCCCAGCTTGAAATGAATTCTGGAGCAATGAAGCTGCCTTGCTACTGATCTGGAGACACAAACCGCGCTCTGGACTCATGCTGAAAGGCTCCTCACACGGACGTGGCTGTAAACTGGTAACCAGTCAATCAGGCTGGAGTGTCAAAGGTGACTGTGTGAGATGCTGGCCATGTTCATTCCTAAGGTTGCTACTATAGAAGTTGATGTGCCTTATTCATGCTAGACTTATGGGCCACTAGACTCAGAAGAACTTTTGAGCAATGGAGTCTGCTCCAGAAATGATGAAGGATTAGCCACTTTCTGCTCCTTGCGGGATGAAAAATCCGTGCTAAATTTGGCAAAAAGACCGTGATTAAAAAAGATTTTAAAAAAGGCATGAACTTCCCCATCTAGGATGTCACAGAAAAATCATTTAGACTTGAACTAAATACTAGGGCGGGAAAGGATAGTGATTTACAAATGGCATCTTAAAACAAACTATGAATAAGTGGGACTAAGGTCTTCTTGGGACGGCCAGAAGTTATTACAGAGCAAGAGGTCCAGCATGTCACTGAAAAAAAATATTTTTTGTTGGACTTCTGTCTCAGAACAGGCTGGAGAAGTACACTTCTTTATTCAGTTTATTCTTTATTCAGTATAAAATGCTTTATAAAGAGCAAGCTGCGCTGTGCTCTTTGAGCTTAAAAGGGTGTCATCTGCTCATCATGGTGCTGCAGCTGTGTTGTAAATGTCTTTGTTCAGACCATAAATAGTCTTCACAATAGTCTATAATTATGTGTTTGCATCAAAAACACCCTTGAAAACTTATTAATTAGATCTGTTGGACAAATGACGTACGTTAAATTAAGTGTGCTATTGACAGAATAGCTAAAGGAAACACTGGCTAGGGGATGATGGTAGGGTATTATCCTACTATTACCAAAGAGCAGATTTCCATGCCTCGCTCCCACCGGTCCCTATTATTTGCATACAACCTCTGCTAATAGACTGTTTAATAGACCCTGCAGTATTATAACACACACATAAATTACTGTATCACTAAATTACCAAAATATATGGGAGGGGCTTGGCTCTTTGAAGCATTGTGTATTCTATAACACTGGATGTGAAAATTGAAAGTATTTTATAAATGATGATTATTTTGACATAGGATCACTGAAGCCTAAGCATTGCAGCAGCTTTGCTTTTAGACACGACTGAGCTAAATTTATTTGGAAATAGCTTTGATTTATTTTCAAGCCTTATAGAAATGTTTCATTATTAACTGTTCACATATAATGCAGAGCAAAACAGCAGAAAAAGACATCACTGATGCCTTTTAAGAAGGGCAGAAAAGAAACAAACAGGAAAAGGTCTTGCTGATTTAAAGTACAGGAGCAGTAGACATGTGTCTGGCAATTAAAAATAATCTGTGGGTAAAATCCTGCCTTTATTAACATCCACGACAAGATTCCCATTGGTTTCAGAGCTGCCAAAGTTTTACCACAAGGCTAACTCCTCAGTTCTGGCATTATTCTGATCTAAGCCAGTTGAGGATCTTAGTCCACGTCCTTTGGAAGTAGCTTTTTAAAAATTTTTTTGAACTGCTAAGAGATAGTTGCAATGAAGAAGAGAAAAATCAAAGGGAAATTCTAAATAAAAAAAAAAGCACCATGCTTGATGCAGTCCCTTTCAAACACTGCCAGGTATTCCCTGTGATGTCTTTTTAAAAAAAAATTAACTGTCCATATTCGCTTTTGAGCCAGGGACACTGTTTGCTCTTACAAAGTGAAAAGTTGTCAACAGTTTCCGCACAGTGACGTGCCACAGCTATCCTGCACTTAGAAGTGGAAATGAGTGTGCTCACAACTCCTCTCGGGTGTCAGCCGTTGGCAAGCAGTTACTTTCCAGTGGTAACCTTTGCGCACAGCTAGGGTGACTCAGTCCCTGCTGCCAGCTTCATTAACACCCCCTACAACACTTCTGTTACAGAAATGGATTAACTAGTTTTGGTGGGTTTTTTGCCCCAAACTGACTTTTCCAAATTGTTCTGGAAGGAAAAAAAAAACAAACCAGGGGCGGCTGTGCACATGCACCACTTGTAGCTTATGCATGCTGAGTGTGCACGTGCTGCTGTGAGCTGATCAATGGAACAAAGCTGCCTAGGGAAGTCGAGGAATCTCCTTCATTGAAAGTTTCCTTGAAGAGACTGGATAAGCCCCAGTCTGGGAGAGTTAAGGAACAGTAAATCCTGCCTCTCTGCAGGGGCCAGCCTGCACGAATCTTGAGGTCGCTTCCAACCCAGTGATTTTATAATTCAGTTTTATGTGGCTGCCTTTCAGACATGCTGAGAATGATGACTGATGTATGTAACTCGCCAGACCTTTGGGATCCTGCTATATGGAAGCGGCCATGGAGCCGTACGTTGTTACAGTGATATCTGATCTATTTTCCATTCGTGGGTTATTTAATGACCTTTCCATGTTAACGCGGAGCCCGCAGCATATAGGAGCGTTCGGGGAAACTCACCGAGCTTTACTTCTGCATTTTCCGTGAGGAGAACGTTCTGCCCTTTAATGTCTCGGTGGATAACGTGGTGGGCGTGAAGGTGCGCCAAGCCCTGCAAGAGAACCGTGTTACTCAAGATGTTTTCTTCCCATCAGGGCCATGAATTTGGAAATTCTTGCTTCGTTCAGGGTGCGATCGTGGTAAAAAACCCTCAGAAGTGATTGCTAGCAAAACATTTGCTCACAATGCTGGCAATAAGAAGAGCGAGCAACACGGCATCTCAGCTTATCTCGCTCACGTAGGCTGAAAGCAGTGCAGCATTTTGGACGTGAAGTGAGAGGAGAATCAGGGCCACAAAGTGCACGCTGCGATTTCAGACTCAGAGAGATATTGCTCTGCTAAAGGCCAACAAAAGAGGAACGTGGGGTATAAGCAGCAATCCTGTGGATAGCTACTGATGGAGCATTCAGGAACCAGCAGACTGGTGGCAATGGTTTGAGTCCTGCATTGGGCAAGATTCCCAGTGACTCTAATGACTGGAGATTGCATCTGTGCCCAAGACTATTTTAAGTTTCAAAACACTAGTTAAACTAGACTAGAAATAATGGAGTATTATGAGAAATGGACGGCCCACCCAAAATACTTGGCCACGGTAAAACTGATGACTTTACACACAAAGGAACAGCTGATGAAATCTGAAGTTCCTCTGCAGTTAACCCTTCTTTGCCCTACACACAGACAAGTCACACTCCACACACTTCACGGAGAGATACCTGTATCCGATCTCTTTTGTCTTCCGCTATGATAGATTTATTATTTTAAGTTGTGGTGTTTAAATTACAAGGAGGGACTTAAAACCAAATCTTCTAATGGCAGCTTTGCAGGTAAATGGCACTCATATCCAGAAGAATTAATGACTATCTGCCTAGAAACATCACCCGGCTGTGTGACACTTCGGGTGCTGAGCTGATTTGGAGGAGATTTGGTCTGATTCAGCGGCCGAATCTCCGAATCCGAATCGAATCAGGAGACCAGTGAAAAGGTCTGAATCAATTTGAAGCTCTCTGAATCAATTCAGAAAAGATTTGGACAGCTTTGGAGATTCAGGCAGTCCCCGCTCTCTGCTGCAGGGAGCTGGACCCGGACTCTGTGCCGGTAAATAGGGGGCGGGCAGAAGTGGGGGACTGAAGGAGTAGAGGGGACCATGGGGGGACCCCCGCCAGGTCCCATCCCCTGCTTGCTGCCCCAGCCCCCCTGAGTGCCCCCTGACTCCTGCCCCCCACCATGGCTGCCCCGCCAGCCCCAGCTCCCGGCTCTTTAAAAAAAACCCAAAAGACCCGCACTCACCAGCTGCTGCAGCAGTCTCAGGGCTTCTGGGGGCTTGTGGCAGAGCCCCCCATGCAGCGCGGGACAGTGGGGTGCAGCGAGGATTGCCCCCCACCAGGCAGGAGCTGGTAACTCGGGGCTTTTTTATTATTTTTTTTAAAGAGCTGGGAGCTGGGGCAGGCTGGGAGAGCAGGCAGGGGTCGGGGGGCTTGTGACAGAGCCCCTCCATGTATTGTGGGACACCATCCCCCCCAGCCTGACAGCAGCCAGTGAATCAGGGCTTTTTCTTTTTTTTTTTTTTTTTTTTAAAAGAGCTGGAGAGAGCAGCAGGAGATGGAGGCTCATGACAGAGCCCCCAAAGCAGCATGGGGCAGTGGGGGGGCAGCGGGGATCATCCCCTACCTGACAGCACCTGGTGAATGCCAGGCTTTTTTTTCCCCAAAGAGCTGGGAGCTGGGGCAGGCAGGGCAGCCATTGATGGGGCTGATTCGGAGATTCGGCCGATTTGGCTGTGGCCAAATCAATTCGGGACAGTGATTCGAATCGGCCGAAACCGAATCCGAAGTGAATACTAGCCACTTCGTGCAGGCCTAATCAGTATGCATGCATACATGAAAGGTTTCTGACTGCATGCATGCCCATCTCATTGTCGACTACCCTTTTCACACAGACACATGGGAAGATTTTAAGCCTCTGTTAAAAAATGCAGTCTTTGTGTCCTCATGCTGTGGCAGAATGCAAACTGTGGAAGAGCCCCAGTAAGGATACTGAACTGAAGCCTGCAAAGACAAACTTCCCCACTGATTGGGGATGGCACCGGTTTGTGGCACGTAAGAATTCTAAATCAGAGAACGGTTCTCCCCCTGACCAATGGATTTGCTATTTATTCAAAATCAGCAGCTCCCTGCCAAATCCACATGGGATATTTGATGTGCTTTTGAACTAACTGCCCATCTCTGTCACTACGGACATAGAGTGAGTTTAGCCCTGGTCAGGTTCAATTCACTAGTTTGAAATAGGGAATTTCAATGGCAGGTCTCAGAATACTCATATTGATCTTCCTGTTATTAAAAAAAAAAAGTCAAACTCCATTAAAAGGGAAGTAGATCAATGGCTCTGTAATGGCCCAGGGAGTTAGGGGCAACTGGTTCTAACATTTTTTCAGGCTGGCTTCTTCCAAAACTCTTGCTACCACCTTTCTGTTGCAAAGCATGCTGCTTTTACAAAAAGACAAGTTAGAAATGGTTTTCTTTCCAGGAAAATAGGCTGCAAACAATGTAATATGCTGGGGCATTCCCTTTGCTGGCAGTTAAAGACTTGCTGGTGTCACGTGTCACAGTTAGAGAAGGCCAGGACACTCTTTGCAACAAGAGCACAGTTAGCAAAACTCACCCTGAGAACTTCTCTGCAGATGTAGGCAATCCAGTCTTCCTTGAAACAGTTTCCCTTGGTCTTCTTTACCAAATCTGTCACAGACCCAGCTCCACAATACTCCATCACCAGCTGCAGGGAGACAAATATATTACATGTTCTCAACAGAAGGCAGAGCAGGGTGGCACCTTATAGACTAACTAATTCAGAGAGGCATAAGCTTTAGCGAGCAACCGTTTACTTTGTCAGATGCTAACCATGACCATGTTCTGGCCTACTACACCATCGGCTTAATTGTGTTGCATGCGTTGCCTGCCCTTTAGCACTGCCACTGGAGTGAAACCTTCATTTTCTGAATTACACGCTCTGCTGATGCAGTAAAACAAAGCAATGCCCCTCTTCTGCTACAGTTCACGGGGACTTCACTCCTGACTAGAGCCGACGCAAAATAAAAAAAGGGGAAAGGGCAAGGTGGGAACCAAATCCAAATCCATGAAAATGTAACCAAGTTTGTTTCAAATGGAATCAATCCTTACAAATTCTGGCTAATATTTTTAAGCAAAATGTTGGCATTTTGTTGTTCCTTCTTTGCCCCATTTTTAACTCTCTTTTGTTGTTTTCTTTCCATTTTGCCACTGGAAAAAAATCCAGAAAAAAAAGCAATGGTGGAAGATAGAGGGGAAACCCCCCCCACCCCCAAAAAAAAAACTAGGAAAAAAGATAAGCCTTAAAGCTGAAATCAAAAATACTTTCTTAAAAGTTTTATATAGATTAATAAAACACTTTTCCTTGGGAGTTCCTGTTGTAACTCCCAACAACGATTTCCTCTTTCAAGAACATCTAATAAACGTAAATGGGATTAAAAAACGTACCCAGAGCTGATCATCCTGGCCCGCAGGACTCTTCTTGACAAATGCTCCATAATATGTGGCAATATTGCGGTGATGAGAATATTTTTTTAACATGTTTATTTCCAGCTTGATTTCTTCCTCCTCATTCTGTAGTAAAAAGAGAGCAGAGCGCTGCAGGAGTGACAAGATAAACCCTCTAGTCTGCGCTGTGAAAAGCAGGACTAGGCCCTCAGACAAATCACAGGGGCAGTCTCTTAACCAGCACAACCAACAAACCTAGATCTGAAATCAGGAACTGCTCCAGCTTGAGCTCACAGGAGAAGACGGTCTACGTGGGGGCATGAACAGACTAATATCCTCGATGCACGGCACGTGGAAGGGAATTTGTAACTCACTCACTGGGACTTTAGCCGTGGAGAAGTTAACCGGATTCCAGCAAAACCCTCTTGATAACTCTCTTTATTCCAATAGTACTACATGCTTTAAATGTTGCATGCACATCACGTGATTCACCTTTCCCGTTCCCTGAGGGATCTGCCAACAGGGAACCCCCAGCCAAGGGAAGGGAAGTGACTTCCCAGGTCCACAAACCAGTTTGGAGGTGAAGCCAGGATTAGAACTTGGCTCTTTCCTCCCCACCCGGAGGTTCGTCCGCCAGAGCGTGAAGACGCCTACAGAATGACGAGGGCAGCAAGGCAGCTGCTACGGGGAGGCCAAACAGTCTACATACTCCCCTTTCTGCAGCATCTATCTGTTGTCTCTTCTGCTTACATTGGTCCTTGGGAAATGCACCCTCTTTTGTTCTGCTGGAACAGAAAACAGCATAGCAGGGTGCTGATCTACAGGGACGACTATCAGATGCCACCACAATACCAATAAATGATCATAACAGAACAGATTAGAGCGAACTTCATTGGTAGCACCTCGCGATGGCCTCAATGAGGCAGCTGTGTCTCAGCTAAGAGCTAGCCGGTGGAATGGCTCTTTCTCTTCTTGCCTGTGCCATCCTTGCCAGGAGAGATGGTGCGCCAAAGGGTGCTCTGACACCCACAAGGGAACAACAGAGCTCTTGCTCATGACACGCAGAGCCGCCTGCCTCCATCAGCGGAAAGGAATAAAAGGAAGCTGATACCTGAATTACCTTTTGCCACCAAACATCCTTGAACTTATCAGCTAATGAAAAAAATAGGCGCGGAAGACAGAACCGGCTGGGACGTGCACAACGTTTTTCCATGCTAGCCTACCACTTCCAAGGAGCAATGCCAGCCAGGTGCTCCCTTAATTGCCAGAACGGGTATCTGACAAAAAGGATGAGATCCCTGCCGGATGGTGTGAGGGGTGATAGGCATGGAGTCATTAATAGTTGGGACCCAAAACTGTTCTGAAAATCCCACCATGTGGGAGAGCTCCTTGTGAGCAAACACCAGATCAGAGCACACAACACTCACGCAGCACGTGCCGTCCTGTGAAATGGGGACACGGAGCTGTTCGAGGGCAGTGCTGAGCTGTCAGGTCGCTCAGGAGCTGGAGGAAGCACGTGCTCCAAGACGGCATCCCCTAAGGTGGTGCGCAGGCAATGCGAGCATCCTTAATAATCTCTTGCTACTTCCCTGGGACAGGGAGGGGGGCAGTTCATTTACGCTAGCGAGGTACACAGATAATAGCTTGATTAACAAGGGTATAAGAGTAGCTAAGCAATTCTGCCCAGAAAGTGGGCAAAGCCAAGATTTGAAACCTTGAGAGGTCTGTTAGGGAGAAGAAGGATGTTGGCAGGGGGAGGTGAGTGGGAGAGAAGAGGATGTGGATAAAGCGATGTACCCGGGCACTCCTGGCTCCAACCTTCCCCTTGCTGATACAGTTATGGGCCAAACGTTGCCCAAGGGCCCTTGACATCTGCTCGGAAATGTTGCTGCTTACGTAAGGAAAGCTGCTCGCAGATGCAGTTCGCTGCATTGTTTGCGGGCACGGTAGGTGTGTGCACAAAACGGCAGGTTCACAGCCAAACCCTGTTTTAGAAACCGTGGGCCTCGCCTGACCACAATGACACGAGGTAGCAGAGAGTGAGGAGGCACACGCCTCTACCCACAAGAGGAAACCAGATCGGAGACTGATAAACACACTGCCAGGAGGCTCTCTTGTCGAAGCTACGGCAAGGAGACGCGCCCCTCCTTGAAAAGTGATTTTGAGAGCTGGAACGGCAGAAAGCAGGAGGTTCCCGGGGAGCAGCCTGCTGCACGCCAGCTCCGAGGAAAAGCTCCTTTTGCAGGAGTAACGTGGCAAGACGCGAGCGCTTTGCTTGCTTGGCACGATGAGAGAACAGGAAGCCGAGCCCGTGAGGAGAGGCGCAGCAGCACACATTGCTGTCAGCCCCACTCGAGCGATTTCAACAGGCTCCCACACCCCTCCCTGTAACATGACGCTGCAGCACTTCCTGACAGATGTCCAGCGCATCCCGCGGTGACCGCAGCATCCTGCCGCCGATCAGGAGGAGGGAGCTCAAAGGCGCAGCTCATGCCGAAGGGGAACAGATTTCCTCAGCGACGTTTCTATCACGGGGCTCAGCACCAGGCATGCCAGCTTGCGGCCGGTCACAAGTTTTCTGAGCAAGTGAATTTTCATGCTGTGAATGTCACCTGTCTGGTGCCACTGAAGCTTTGGGCAGGAACGTGCCAATGCCACTTAACTTTTCACTGGAGAAATAAGGATTTATTTTTTCCGTTCCAGACCCAGGCTGGCGTTTCTGGTTATAAGCAGAGAAAAAAAAAATCCAATGCAAGACGAGTCCTTGGTTGCTCACATGAAATAGGAACTATCCAGGTTCAAGCCCCTGCTCCCATGATTCAGACCAGGGGCTTTGAACTCTGCTACATCCCCGGTGACTGCCTGAACCCTCGGCAATCAGCCACACTGGTGCAGGCCACTCTCCTGTCCAAACAAACAGAAATATTTAAAACCTGAATCGGGAATAATTTGGTGTAAGAAATGTTGACTCTGTTGTAAGCAGCCAGTTCTGTTCTTCAGATCTCTTGTGCTAGGCACGGACATTCAAAAAGCCCCAAGATGAACTGATGTAAGTTGTGCAGTTTTCACTAAGTGGCATAGTTTAGAGCTGGAGCGAACATAACACACATTTGCCCTTTGCTGGGGGGAGGCAAATTTTAGACCAGGTTCTGTCATTTTTAAACCACTCTGCATGTGCCAAACCTCTGTTGTGCTATTATAGACTGGTTTTGTGTGCCGAACCTCTGTTCTGTTACAAGTATAGACACAGGCCGAACCTCCGTTCTGTTACCGGTCTGTTCTGTTACACGTAGACCGGCTTCCCATCACTTTTACTGGTGAAAGTGTAATGTCTGTACCTGTCCTTAGAGACTGAAAGCATTTCTATCCAAGGGACTGCCATATCTCTGCATTACCGTAGCACTTGAGCACCTCACCTCTCACCATAAAACCCCTGTGCGGCGGGGCAGTGCTATTACCTCTGCTCCGGATGCAGAATCGAGGCGCACAGAGGCTGTGACTCACTCAAGATCACTCAGGAAATACAGGGCAGAGCAGGGAGTTGACCTTTATTCTCTTAAGCACCAGGTGTGCACATCAACCTCAGGGACCTTCTTGGTCCATCACTACCAGCTGGAACCAATTACTTCCTGTGCAAGGTAGGGGAAGCGTGCAAAAGCCCCAGCACAGCAGAGCTGGGAGGGGTCAGGGCTTAGAGGGAAAACCTCGAATGGTGGCTTTGAAGATTCAGATTGAAGCTTTGCAGAATTCATAACAAGAAGTACGTTGCTTGGTGTGAAACAACTCAAAACGAAAGCAATCAGAGAGGTTATTGGTACTATTCATCCTCAGAACAACTGGCCAGATTTCCTAGGACACTGCCGCTTTTCTGTGCTGCCCCTGCAAAGCAAAGCAACTGTAAACCAGGTTTCGCCAGCCAATTAAGGGAATATATAGCCTCTTTGTGTTCATGGAGCCGCACAAAGCTACTGGCATGAGCCAGCCAACCTGGGCCTCCACATGCTGTCATGTGATTTTTTGCTGGACACTGCACGTTTCCTGGAGTTTTTGCCCTGATTCTTCCACTGGGAAGAAAGCTTTCAGTGGTACTGATGCCCTCTCCCAAGTCAAGCTGTTGGGCCAACCCACAAATCTTGTTGAATAATTCAACAAAACATTTCTGCCTTTGGGCTGGCTCTGGGTCTCTGGCCCCAGACCTTTCGCCACTGACCTTTGAAGTCTAGGGGCGCTCAGATCCAGGGATCTGATTTAGCATCAGACGCTGCCAAAATTCAACCTCTGTTACTCCCCAGCAAACAGCAACCTAGCTTTATCTTTGGTGACTCTCATTTCTACTAGCTATTGCAGTGCATGTCGCATGTACTTGCACAGACAAAAGCAAAACCCCAGGGGTCTACTGCTCCAGTTGTCATAGAAAGGGACCCTCTCCATGGACAGACAAGCAACATATTCACAATTTGACTGTGTACGTGCATGTATATTTTCCAGAGATGTTGACCTTGATTCCTATTCGCACTCGGATCCTTTTAAGCTAACCTGGCAGTGTGAAAGCAGCAGTAAATTACATTACACTTAGCTTGGCATAAACTTTCTTCATCTTAAGAGTTTTATGGTACTGCCCATCACTGCAGTGTTTGCATGCTGCCAGTGGGGTGCCAAGGGGCTTTTAGTGTACATGAAAACTGGATGCATAAGTCTTAAGGACGAGTTTCCAGTAAGGGGGGGGGCATAGGTTTTTGACCTTTCCAACATTCAGGCTAATTTGGTCTTGTGGAGGCAAGTTACTGTACTACGAGCCAGCTGTACAGGGGAACAAAAATCAATGCTTAGCAAATTCTATGACACTATGTTATAACTGTAACACCACTCTATAAATGTGGAAAGGGGCAGTGCCAATTAAATTGTCTCCTTTTCTCATCTATTGAATCTTAAAAAGGCAATATTTGCATCTCTAACATGTTCCTTCTTGCTCGCTGTCAGTACGACTACAATGCCCTAGATTTTTATACCAAACAGAGGAATGGTTGGTGTGCGAGAGGAAAGGATGTGATGAAACACAGCAGGGGCAGCAAAAAGCTACAGGAAATCTCCTATTTGCTATCTCTGGCAACAGATAATCACCAGAAATAAGCAGGAAGACAGTTCTTTTCTTCATTATTATAGACTAGCAAAATATACAGAAGCGCTGTCCCCACTTGCTTTGGACAAATATGATTAAAAACAAAGCAATGTGTTCATGTAACCCATCCTTGGGATCTCAGAAAAACACCAATGCTCAGAAACACAATGAATAGCAGCTGGCCATCTTCTTCCCTAAGGAAGCCACACTAATGTTTTATTTTACATAGACCCTTTTTTCCCCTGGATTGAAGGGGAAAAAAAGGCTATATAAAATAAAATGTCAGTGTGCCATCCAGGCCACTGTCTCACCTGCCCCCCTCCCGCTATATATTCACTCACCTCCGTAACGTTCATCACCTTGATTGCTGCAAGTTGTCCAGTCTTAACATGGCGGCCCTGTTAAAATGATAACATGCTGTAAGTCAAACAGATATTTATGCAAACTGAGTAGATGGTAACCACCTTCGCATAGTAAGAATTTGGGCAGTCTCTCATGCAAGGCTAGATCTTGCTGCGTAGCTGCTTCCAGGCAATATAAATAACATCTGAAAAATACAAAACCATAATGCTTTAATGACCCCTCTATATCTTTACTGAGGACAAGGTAAAAAAAATACGAATCTCTTATTTTCAGTGCCATATGTAGAATGAGGCGAGCAACATGGCTACAACCTACACCCCTGCATGTAGCATGAGCGGTTTTTGGTCTGGGTCCAGGTCTTAGGTGACAGATGTCCTTATCCCTCTAAACGATACTTCTCGATAATCCCAACTACAACGTCAAGGACTCGATGGGCAGAAAGCCGGAATGACCTTTTCTCCCTGCATGTCAGGGCTGAAATATGTTGGTGAAACAATGCGGAGGGGAGTTGGCACTGCTCCTTACTGCTCCATAAACCCTGCGCACGGATGAAGAGAAAACCTTGTTCTGCAAAGCTGTCAACCTGGCCACATTTACATGGCCAGGGGAGACTAAAGTACATTTTTCTTGCATCAAAGGCTCTCTGTTACAGAAAGCATTGCCTTTGGAGTTCTCCGGACAAGTAGTTAATCGCAAGTCGGGTCCTGTAGATTTTGTGTTTAAAGCATAATCTCCCAAGCTGATGGAGAGGAACTCTTCAGGATTTTTACATTGTATACTGACGCTGTCAAAAGGTGGTGTGTAATAACGTGAACCAGAAATCGAGACACAAGCAACAGGATGGGCCTTTCACATCTCTGTCCTCATCAGAACTGATCAGAAAAGACATTCAAAGCAAGGCACGTTGCCTCGTTATGCTAATCAGCACCGCTTCCATAAGTGAAGATTGTATCGAATGACACGGGTCAACAGCGGATTGATTAAACATGCCGCTTCTCTCCCTTATCAACCAGATTTTTCATGAACTGGCCTGCCTTCGAGCCTTGTGAATGCAATTTTGCTTCGATTAATACTCGTGGGTACAAAATTGCAGACACCGTTCCCTGTAGTGGGCCAGGCATAGGAAATCGTGACTTGCATTGGAAACGCTACAATTTGTGGACAAAAGGATTTGCAGGTGCAATTTTATACCTGCAAAATTAGAAGTATCCTTTTAAAAATCAGGTCTTTTCTGTTCACAATTCCATGCAAGTGTTATTTATGGAGTGACGCAGTTTTGCATGGGGGGAAAAATGATTCCTTAATCTCAAGTGACGGGTCTCAGTTGGGTTTTCTTTTTTTTTTTCAAAAAAGCTCACTCCTGTTGGTTTTTGTATTTCTAGGAGTGTCCTCTTTCCAAGGCAGCACTTCTGCGATTTTCTCAGAATGAATAAATCCTACCATTCTAGCTTATCACAGAGCTCAAGAAGAAGATAAATAAGGCACACCCATACCACGAGTGTGCCGCACACTTCAGTGTGTCAGACCGCGGATTCTGTAGCCACAAGTGCTATCCCGGACAGATGCCTGCCTTTGGTCACTATCCATTTCAGCTGACGTCAGTCATGGTTCGCAAGCTTCCTTTTAGCAGCCCCTGTTCCTTTGTTGGAGGCCATTGTTTGCAAATGTTTCCAGGCATTGAAAGTCCTGGCAATACAGAGACAGGACCTTCCACAAAATACAGTAATGCTAGACAGGCTGGCACCCTGATTTAACCCCAAAGCTTGCCTGGAATTACACTCGTAGATAAAGTAAGGTCAGGGCAGGTAGCGGAGATGCTTTGAGATTTTTTAAATCTGTTTTCCCAGCATATAAGCAAGGTTAGTACCAAAACAGTACTGCAAAGGATATTGCAAATTCATTAGAATAGGAGAGAAAAAACTGGAGGGGGGGGAGGTATTTTGATTTCAGATCGTGAGCCCTATTCAGCCAATCCTCTGTATAACAGACATCTGTTCTTTTATACCCATATATCCATTCCAGGCAAACCTGATGTTTTTGCTTACTTTTCTCGCTGTAAATCAGAAACAGTTAATCTTGGGAATGCACGTTGAAGGAAATGTTGTTCCCACTAGACAAATGGATTTCCCATTATTTAAAGTATTGTACATTAAATAGATGGTTTTGCTTTGAGGCCTGGATTCACCTCAGCAGTGATTCACACACGTCCATGATCGTGCAACACACTGATTAAACCCATGCCCCAAATCCCCATGTCTTTGTATCCTGACAGCAGTGGGAGTGGGCCTGGACAAGGGGCACAGAATTGGTAAATGCCTCAGAAATCTCATCTTGTCTCAGCGCAGAGGTGTTCACTGTATGATACACGGGGGCTGGACCCGATGAGCTCACGAGGTCCCTTCCAGCCCTAAACTTCTGTGAATCCGGGATCCAAGGTTATTACTAGGCAGGTAAACCATAGGCCAATACCCCATCATCCATCAGCACAACTGTTATCAGAACAAATGTACTTATTGCCAGAGCAAACCTCTCGTTCAGCAAAGGAGCCTTGAATTTCAGTGGGAAGGAAACTTACTTTTGGGTTGCAGAGTTAAGAGGGCAAAGGGCCCATTTCATACTCAGGCCCTTTTGCACTCTGGCTTCTTAGAGAAGCCGTGGGGCTTGGCTAAACTGTCAGGCACGCTGGGGAAAGATGCCCTGTCTACTCGTTCTCATTGGATGTGCAACCAATGATATCAAATATCAATCATCTGGCTGATTTTTACTTACCCCTGCCCCCTCCACACCATTACCCTGATGGGGAGTACATGGTATTTTGGGGCTGGGGGAACACGCAGCAGGAGAAAGCGCGTTCTCAGAGCCACAATGTGCCGTGGTCTGACACTGAACAGGCCTGCCTTTAAAGTAGACTGAGTGCATTTTTAAACCTGTTTAGTTGCCTTGCTCCTCTTCCTGCATATAATGAGAGGCATTAGTGGGCATGACAATCTGGCCTCATATCAAAACGAGGGAAGAAGAGAAGATGACAGAGCGTGCAGAGTTTAAGTTATTCTGGTAGGTTCTTGATACAATCTATTGCTGCCACATAACTTTGTGCCGCTATCCTTACCGCTCCTGGCTGGGTTTGGGCAGTCCACTCATTTCACTCCGTCGTCAGAAGAAAAGGGCTAATATTCAAAATAAGCATTGATCGCTACTCACTATCAATGATTGGGGTGGAAGGCAATTGTGTGAAATGCTGCTGGGGCTGAAGAGAGAGAAGAAAAGCTGTAGATGCTTTGGTATCAAAACACGGAGCTTAGGCAGTGCTCACCTATTGCTCTTTCTGTGCGGTTTGTGGGTGTGAACGTTGGTGGCTGGGTTTCCCGAAACAAGCAGAATAATGGGGCCAAACTGTCAAGTTCACTCTCCCATCTGAAAAAGTCTCCCTTAGTAAGACGGACCACACCCATGCTCATATATGCAGCCAAAATGATATATGGCAGAATTACCAGTCAAACTGTGCCCTTGCTGCAAAGCCTGAAGCACTCTTCTCTTTTAAATATATGGCAATGTGATGTCCCCTCCAAGCACCCGTAAAGGAAAGACATGGCAGTCTATCTGCATGCACCACCAACAGAGACAAGGGACCATCTCACCAAGGGACCATCTCACCTGGAGCCAAGGGACCAACTCACCAAGGGACCACCTCACCTGGAGCCTTCTCTCTGTTTACTCAAACCATCCCATGAAACTATTTACACTCGCATGGACGATCACCAGGGAGAACTCTACTCATCATCTCATCCAACAGCCCCAAGTGTCATTGTCACCACTGGTTGCAAATCAGACAGTCCTTGAAGCCAGGATGACTAATCTCTAAGAGGGGCTTTCTACCCCAAGGACCCCTCTTTACAACAGAGCTGGACCTGAGACAGCTACCCTCGGTTAAGAAGACACGTGGCTGTCTGATGGGGTGTATCTTCCAGATGCCAAATGTTCAAGTTGGAGGTTTTTTTTCAGAATAGAAAAAGGGATCGGGCCTCTGTGGCCGAAGAGGAGCGATGCAAAGGGGTCTCGTCTTTTATGTTGGTTTCTCGGCTGTTTCAAGTTTCTTTGCCAGCTTGAAAAGTGGGTTAAAGTAGCAAGGTCTCATTCAGGCAAACTCTCACTGTGGCCAACTTCTGAGCAAAGGCATCAGGGTTTGGTCTGCCTCCCCCCGCTTTTTTTTCTGTTGTTTATGAATAAATCTGGGAGGTTACGCAGAGTTCATGGGAACTTTTATGCATGTAAACTTCACTCGCAGCCACAAGGCCCGTTCCTGCAAGCGTGCTGAGCTGCATACATTTTTTTGTGAGAGGTGTTGATTTGGTTTTGTTTGAGTTTTTCACGAGGGCACCCAGAAGCCACAGATGGGGTGTTTTTAACTGCTTCATTGCAGCATATCAGCATCTCACGGGTTCCTGCAGTATGATGAGAACGGAGTAAGACTGGCAGAATGTGGCCCTTAGGAAAGAAAGCTATTCTGAGACTGCACGGCAGCGGCAGGAACGGGTCAGAGCAGTGGCTCTCAGCTTCTTTAGACTGGAGGCACTTTTCATTAGACCTCTCCATGACTTGTGAATTTAGCTTCAAAATCTAAATGTCTTTATTATAGACCTTACCTCCTGGCAGAGGGCACGCAGCAGGAGCAGGGGAGCAGCCGGGCAGGGAGAGCCTGAACCTGTCCTTACCAGCCTGCCTTCTCACACCTCCCGTGGCACCCTTTAAAGGCTCTTGCAGCATGCCCTGGTTGAGAATCAGTGGGTTAGGGGTCTGCCTTTCCCCCACACCCAAGCTAGCAATGCTAACAAGTGCTGGTTTCTGGCGGAGGCGTAGCAGGGCGGGATCAGACCCAGAGCAGCCCCCAACACACAGGGCAGTGCTGGCTCCTGCCATGCTGACGGCAGTGGCGTGGTCAGCCCTTACTGTAGCGACAGGTGCTTTGGTGCCCACCTCCCAGTGACATTACTGGTTTCTGAAGCTACTGGTTTCTGCAGAACGTAACGCGGGACCT